TCACGGGATTTTAGCTAGTTTTGAGTCTACCTAAGCTCTTGGAATTCAGTTGCTATTCCTTCTCAAAAATATCAAAGTGAGAAAAATACTATGGGTCCTCGATTTAAGTAGATTCGATTTAAATAGGATTTTTCTGGAACAAAACACCTACTCAAATCGAGGACCCGCAGTACTCAAAATACAATTGTTGATTTTCAAACAAAGATTCATCTCTAAGTGTCAGTTAATCTTGTACTAGCCATTTTTTCAAACTCGAACCACTCTTATTCCACTTTTCACTTAGTCGCCATTACAATGACAATCACTGCCAACAGTAAACTCATTCTTCAGGAATAAATAGAATCCATTTTCCTACCAACTGCAATTTTCTTTAATCACAATTTTAATTTCCTGATAAATAGCAGTTCTCAATCAACGTCAATAAAATGAAATATTAAAATCCATAGGAAAAATATATTGTAAGTTGAAAGGGAAGGAGGTATTGGCAAAAGGCGTTGTTGAATGGAGAATTTAAAAGTTTATTTTTCCGATTAATGTTATGAAATAAAATGAAGTGTGAATAAAAATGAAGCGCAAAAAGTTTTATAAAACTCACAAATGAAGCGTGAATTAATGAAAATGTTGGAATTTTTTTCTTTTTCTTTCGATAATTTGCAGCACAGAAACATCTGTTTTTTTTTCATCTCCATCAAGCAATTCCATTTTCTATCTTCTTTTCTTTTAATTATTTAGTTTGCATTGATGAAAGTTTTTTGCTCTTTTCTTCTCAATTTGAATTAATTTGAATTTTTTTTTCCATCTTTTAAATTATTTGTTGGATGCTTCCGGAAAGTTGGAAGATTTTTCGGGTTTGAGACGCATTTTTTTAAATGTCATTACAAATATAGCCTTGATATAAACATACAATACTAGGACTGATTTTTAAAGCTATAAACTAGAGTCGAAAAAATGAATTTGACTTGAATTCGGACTCGGGTTGCCACATTTCAGCCTCCAGTTTGCACTTAAAAAATCAGCTTCAAAAAATCGAACTAGCGAAAAGAAAAGAAGACAGAAAGAAAAAATGGAATGAAAATGTGAAGGCGTTAATGAAAACACGAGAAAAATGTTTTTACTATCTAAGCATAATGTGACAGTTAATGGATATGAGAAGATGATGATGAGGCGGAGGAGACTCGCAATGAAAAGAAAAAAGATTGCCTCAAATTTTTCCTGTCTTCTTGCTCCCTACATTCTCGTCTAAGTTTTGCTGTTAACGTAATTTTTATGTTGACAATGGAGCATAAATTTAAGTTAAGGACATGCTTTTATGCTTATATTTAATCACATGTTGAAGCAAACGGAAATTACAGAATTTATGTTATCATAAAAATTCTCTCAAAGTTTTACTGACCGACTATTTGTGTGAAAGCGATTGTTCGAATGTGTGGAATCTAGATTGCATAAATTCATAGATTACCAGCGCTCAAGTCATGTTAAAGTAAGCTAAACGAATGCTTTAATGTTGTTCAATTTCCGGAGATGGAAATTTCTCGCTTTAAGTCTTAGTGCTAAAAAATTTTCCTTTGGGAAATTTGTTGAATATGCCTGCAAATTTTCCTCACTAATGTTAAGCTAAGATTTTTTTTAAATAACCACAAAAAAAATTCTCACGCATATTTCTTGTTCATATCAGGAAATTGTAGACATTTATTATCACCAATAATCTGTCCTTGTTCCATGTTCTCTACGATTTCCTGCCTTATTTCAATATCTAGGCTATTAACCACTTAGTGTCTGTCGCAATTAATGACTGAGATAGTATTCAAATTTAAATGAAACATTTGCTAGAATTAAGTAGCTTAATTCTATTCATTAAACATCGACGTTGAGCTGATAACATTTTTGGGCTGCAAAGAAAGTCTAACAAAAAACACTTGACCTGAAAATAAAGGTATATGGATATAATACGCATGCTATAGACTTTGTTAAAGGTTAAAGACAACATTTCGATTCTTTAAAGATTCTCGTTATTCCCAACTTCAAAATGATACTTGAACCTTACAATGTATCCCAAAGACTTTGAACATGAGTATTGGTCCTAACAAAGGAATTAAAATCAAACACTAAGAAAAAATCATTTCCAAACTGCTTATCTAAGCTTAACTATTTATATATTGAAAGTTATCAAGCATATCGTATTTTTTTGTGATATTTATTCAGAATTAATAAGCTCATTGCTGCTTACTAATTCAACATTGCTTATTAAGATTCTCGGTATATTTAGCACGAGCCCACTGCTTACGTCAACTAAAACCTAAAAATCCGATTCGAACAAGAAAAATCAATCAGTTAATCAGAACACGAAACACATATCCATAATAGCATATAAATTATCAAGGAAACAGTTAATCAGTCAGACAAGAACTAGGCATGATATTGTCATTGAAACAATAGCAAAGTTCGCAGTCATACGAAAAGAAAATTATCAATAATTATCTCACTTTTCAGCTATTAGTAGCGAAAAAATATTACCTAATCTCATTTAATAGCCCAACCACACAGTATAGAAACATTCGATGTGACATAAATGTCGAAGCTTCGTAGCCGTGCTTGTTTACATTAATGACATGACATTTAACTTTTCCTATTTACATTCCTATTCATTTTCACTAATTCTAAATAGTCTCTCGCACGCAAACAACTCCCGGGGCTGCTTTATTTTCAAAGAAAGTTCCTTGTTCTTTCATTTCAATATTTTCTGCTATGTTGGCCACAAAGGTTGTATATTGTGGTATTGGAACCTTTTTCATGAAGAAGTGGGAGGGAATTGGTTTGAGTCGCGTACACACAAAATAAAAAGCTTTTAAATCTAAATAAAAATCATGTTAATAACTTCATTAACATAATAAGTAACAAGATCGTGATAGAAAAGTTTTTTTTTGTCCGTCCTCGTAGACGAGGCATTTTTTCGGTAACACAGAAAGAAATCAACATGAGAAAGAACTAAGAATTATTATTCGAATTAATTAAAGCAAACATAAGGCATTACATCGTTAGCAGTGGAATTTATTTTTTTGCTTTTATTTCCTCTTCTTCGTCGTCTTTGTGAGTTCCAAAATATCGACAATAAAACAACGTGAATGAATATTCGCGAATGTTGTTGTTGAAATGAATGAAAACGATGGCTGAAGATTCATAAATCATGACTTTAATTATATTTTGAAATGGAGTCTCTTTTAAGAAAGGAAATTGAATTTTGCCTTCTTCTGCTTCCATTTGATGAGGGCTTTGTCCTACTTTTCGTAGACTTCAAAGGATTTTGGCACACATTTTAGAATTGAAATGATGTTCTCGACTGCAGTTTGTCTCTATCAGCCTATCCAACTGGATATATTATTATCAATAAATATCTATTTATCAAAATTAGCAATCTTCAATGTGCTTGCTATGGAAATAAAATGCACAAAGAATTCAATGAAAGGAGATGTAATAAGAAATTGATTGTGTATGATGTGAATTTCTACAAAGCAAAGGAAATGATGACTGCTCAAAGCAATATTCACATGATCGAGCAAGTGCATTGCTTTAAAATGCAATAAATATTGTGAGCAATTTTGTAGCATGCAAAAGGCATCAATAATCCAAGAAGAAACAAGCAATAAAAATCTCACATTCAAGAACTGATTTAAAGTTGAGTGAATTTATTGTCCATCCTTAATCATTTTTACACTTTACAATTTTATACTTTTTTATTCTCAGAGCTCCTGCACCGGCTACCTGCGGCTATCATAATATTAAATTATTTCACTGTTGGTATGCTGAGCTGAAATAAATTATGAATTAATTTTTACACTGCATTGGATTTGCATACACTAATGTGAATAAATTTTATTTTGTTGTTTGTGTATGAATTTTAGTGCTTTTGTGGACGACTATAAATATTTTCAATTTGAGTGTTCAGTCGTATTTTTAATTAAAATTAGATGCAAACTCAATGAATAACTTGTTGTCATGTAAAAGCTGTCATGGCATTACATTGATTTACATGTTATTTTAGATGGCTGTAAGCTATCAACCTAAAATATTAATCAGAGCAACTAATTGCAATCCTTGCAGCTGATTTAATATCTTTCATTATGGAAAATTGTGTTGATTGTTTGATTTGACATAATTAATCGTATGCGTGACATTTAAATTACATGGATTAGTATTAAATTCTTTAATTAATTATCGATTATCGTTTCATAGCAAATTGAGGGCTTTAAAGCTCTAGTTTTATTAGGAACGTGAATTTTTCTATCAGTCATTAAATATCTCTAATAGCACAAGTCGGTTAATCGAATAGAAATCCAGCGTTAAGTCGGCAGGACTCGTGCATGGTGCTAGCTTCGATATAAATCCAACATCATGTCAGTATCACACTGGCTTGGTGCCAGTGATCGATTTACCAACTTGTACTATTCGGGTATACTTGATAAGCATAACGTATGAATGAAGAGCGAGCTCATTGTGAAACAAAGGAGCTATATTTTAACATTATTAGTGGAGAGGGATTCCAAAAATCCCAGGAACAATCATTTAATCTAATCACATTTGTTCACGTGCATCCAAAAAAACCTTGACCTAAATTGTAAATTATCAAACAATTTACATCACTGCACATGATAGACCACACACATAAAAATAGACACAGATTAAAAGATAAATGTATAAATTGTCAGACTACTAATCAGTAAATAAACATACGTTCAATTATCACATCTCAATGAAGACATCGTGTTCACACTTTTCTGATATTTACAGTATAGACATAGTGAGATGCTTGAAATTCACAAAATTTGTCAATGTTTCAAGCAAATGTTAATGGAAATTTGATTTTTGACATTGAACTCCTTAATTTGTGAGATATTAGTTCAAAAAAGTTTTAAAAGATTTTTTTGTCAAATCAATAAAGTGTTAAAAAGTTAAGTCAACAGATGACTTTTGAGTATAAAAATGGACGAAATATTCAGAAAAAGTATCAGTCTGCTTGCATCTCTCAAAGCAATTCATTCAACAGTTTTCAAATAAAAAAAAATTCAATCAAAATGTTCAAATTGGTTGTTGCAGTTTCATTCTTTATAGCAGTTACACTTGCACATCCTCAAAGTCAACAAGACAAGGATGCAACTTTAGTATCAAGCGTATTTGCTGATGACGGTGCTGGAAATGTTAATTATGCATTTGAGAGCAGCAATGGAATCAAGCAACAAGCAAGTGGTCAATTAAAGGAAGTTGCAGACTCCTCAGGAAATGGTCAACAAGTCAAGACAGAAGTCTTAACTGGTAGTTACTCATATACAGCTCCTGATGGCACACCAATTACCATTACCTGGGTTGCTGACGAGGTAATTCATATATTACTGAATAATTTGTTTTGGAATTTAACGTTTTAATTTTCTAATTGCAGAATGGTTACCAACCACAAGGAGATCACATTCCAAAAGGACCATAAATGAAGGAGGTCCAATTACACTACAATAATACTCACAGAATATATTCAAACTTGCAAGTTTTGTCAATAATTTTTTGTTCTGAAAAGCTTAAATAAAGGAATATGATTTTTTTACTTGAAGTACTTGCACTTATGACTCACTGCTGCATGTTTATAGCAACATGATTTCCTTCTTATAATAAACGCCAAATAAGAAAAATCCTGTAAAGAGTTTAAGCTTCAATAGCTTCAGACAAACGAACCCATATTTAATTTTAAGAACCCCCATCCAATAATCACACATTTCATTATAATAATCCACAATGTCTAAAACTTATTTCCAAAAGTCTTTTAGATAAGATTTAATGGTTAATATTGTTGATTATGCCTAAATTTACATCACATAATGACTTACATATTTCCATAAAATTAATTTCAATTGCTAAGATGAGAAAATCCCGCATATTTGGTTGCGGTGAACCTTTCAGGCATTTAATTAATAATCTACAAGTTGACTTCTAATCGCTTCCTTCATCTCATTTCTATTCTCGTACATATTTGCTTTCATTGACTTGACAAACTGTGTATACACATATTAAAAACATGTAAATAGACGTAAGTATCTTGCTGCTTTCGTATTCTCTTATCTATTTGTGGAATCTCTTTAAAATTGTTCTTATCAGCTTGATGCATATCTTCATCAGAGCTATCATAACGTGAACAACAAAACTAATTAATTAATCAGTAAGAATTAAATAATTAAATCTAATGGATGCAAAAGAAGATAATGGAAAATTTAAAATTGATGATGCTTTGGAAATTGCCAGTAAGTTGAAAATTCAAATGACTAATGATTTGTGATTTCTGTGTGTAAACCAGATTGTAGTGGAGCTACAAGTGTGTGTGGCTTGAGCGCCAAATCTTAAATATTCACAACTTTGCATGGAATTCTCTGTATTTTTGTGGCACGTGAGGCCTTGGTTCTATTCCAACGCCTTTGCCAGAGTCATAATTCAAGGCTTTTATAGTGAAATAGTTACTAGAATGAGATCCTTACACAAATTTGCAACGCTAATTCCAAATCAAAGTTGTTACATCAAATTAATTATGAATTGCTTAATTTAGGCAAGCAAGTTTAAGACTTGATTAAATTTTCAACCTAAAATAATTTTTCAATTGAATAATTTTGTAGCAAAAACTTTACACATTTGCATAATAAAATATGCGAAAATTGAAAAACAGCCTACAAACTTTACTAAACTCTCTCAATATTTCAGCCTTTGGAATTTTCCATTACTTTCTCATTCTCATATGCGGTTTACTCATGTCAGCAATATTCTGTGAGATAATGTCAGTGAATTTTTCGCTTCCTGTCGCCGAATGTGATTTAAGTATAACATCAAAATCACAGTATGGAATTGTATCGGGTAGTTGGTTCGCTGGTATGATACTGACAGCGTATTTGTGGGGACTTTTGTCGGATTTATATGGACGTAGGAATATTCTGACCGTAACTCCAATAATTGGATTTATGACGGCAGTTGCATCGAGCTTTTCAACTCATTATTTGATGTTGGCAGTATTTAGATTTTTCAATGGAATTTGGTAAGCTTGACAAAGTTATAAATTCCAGCTTTTAGCTTATTGAATTTTTTCTTCATTTTTTTCTAGTATGTCTAGTGCAGGTGCTGTAGTTTTTGCCTATCTTGGAGAATTTTTAACAACAAGAAATCGATCGAGGTCAATAATGATTGCATCTATAATTTTTGGCATCATTTCTACAGCATTTCCTATCTCTGCTTATTTTATCATCAATCAAAATTGGAAGCTTCATATAGAATTTTTGAATATTATTTATAAACCTTGGAGACTATTTGTTTTGATGTGTGGACTTCCAAGCCTGATTTGTGGAATTGCATTTATATTTCTTCCTGAAAGTCCAAAGTTCTGCTTTTCTAAGGTAAGATTTTTTTTCTTCATCTTCATGACGTCATAATCAACTTTATAATGCTATTTCAGGGTCAGACACAAAGATCCCTGAAAATCCTCAATCAAATTTATTTCATGAACACAAGAAAATCCGATTTTAAAGTAAAAGACATTCAACTCGAGGACGAGTTCATTCAAGCATCATCAAATCCAAAAGGAGTACTTCGTATGATGCTTCATAACACTTTACAGATGCTTAAGAATTATCCAAGGTCATTTTGGCTCCTCTCAATCATTCAATTTGGAACTTTTTATGTTTGTCATGGATTGCTTCTCTTCTTTCCTGACATTCTACATGAAGTCTCTCAATTTTCCGAGTCATCAAGTAGTTTACAGCTGTGCGACGTTGTGGATAAAGTCATTGCCCATAAAACCAATTTATCGTCAAATTTTATTGAAGTTTGTGTGGATGAGCTGGACATTTCAGCATATACTTATGTAACAATCCTCCAGTCATGCTTTTTGGTGGGCTTCCTCGTCATCAGCTTTACCGTAAATTACATTGGACGTTTTCCAATTCTCATATTCATCTTCCTGACAACTGGATTGTGTGGAATTTTAATTGCCTTCATAAAAAATGCAACTGTTGCAACATATTTATATTTATGGCTACTCGTTAGTGGAGTTAATAGTAATTTACTCAATACAGTCAGCTATGATCTCTTTCCAACAAATCTCCGATCAATGGCTATATCGACAACAATGTTGTTTGGTAGATTGGGTGGATTAGCTGGTGGAAATGTTGCGAGTATATTGTTGGAAAAATCATGCAATTGGACGTTTGGGATTGGTGGAATTTTATTGGTGCTTTGTGGAGTTTTGGTTATATTTATTCCAAATATTTTTAGAAGGAAAGAACCAGTATGAAGTTAAGTGTGTAGTTATTGTAATTTGTGATGTTTATCTAAAACTAAGGTCAATCTGCTTAAAGCTTAGAATCTCTTTACTTTATTACAAATTTATGGACACTATGTTTGAGCTGTACGTCACCGATTTGATGGGTCATTTTGGAAACTAGGTTACTATTGATTTTAGCATTAAGGTATGTCCGCAACAGACAAATTGAAGAATAATTAACTCATAATTTAAATTAAAATCTACAATCTTTATCTTTAAAATGTTTTTATGCCCAAAATGATTCTCACTTTAATACACTTAGCACATAAATCTCGATGAATATGAAAGCCACAAAAAAAAATCTGCCATAAAAATTGAGGTCAAAATAATTCAAATTGTCATTCTGTGCTATTTTTCTTCTTCTTAATTTTTCTAAAACGATTGTATAACATGTAGAGCCTCAAATCCCATTTGCATAAGCCGTTTTCCTCTCAGATATTTATCCAATAAAATAAATACAAATTATACACACATATACAGCAAAAAAGGTTTCATCACCTTGAGAAAGAAAAATTGAGATTTATTGTATAATTTATTGAAAAATTAGATTTTATTGCTAACCGACTGGCCTTAAAAATCCCTCTTCCTACTTTTTTTTTCTCAGCATATCGATGCCAATTCAATTCTCACTTTGCAGAACCCAAAAAATATATAAAATCGGAAAAAAATAGAATCTGAAAAAAGGCTTTGAATAAATTCACAAATCTTTTCTGTTTGAAAACACACAAATTTTTTTTTCTTCTTCTTATTTTCAATTTATTTCTTTTCAGGTTTTTGAAGGAAATATGATTTAATGTGTGTGATTTGTCGGAGGAGCTTTTAGATCGTTCACTTATGACATCTTAGATTTAGGGGGGGGGGGGTCTCTGGAAATTTGTGGCAGTTCAAATTTAGTAATTTTTTTTCCATGCAAATTTTGTGACAGTAGGGGGGGGGGGGGGGGGGGGGGGTTCAAAAAAGTTGTTATTTTGACGGACGTCATAAGTGAATGGCTCTTTTATTTAAATTAAGTATTCTTGGGCTACTCTAGCCACCCTCCCTTAATCTTAGATCATTTCATTTGGATTATTTGATATTGTACTGCATCGATTTCTAAAGGAATCCCTTAAAGCCGGTCATTGAGTGATTATGCTTAATTTCTTCAAGGTCTGAGTTTAAGGCATATTTATAATTTGACTTGAATCTGATTAATTTGGGTTGTATTTCTGTTAAGTGAGATAGAGCTTGAGTTGATCAAAAAACTCAATTTAACTTAAATGTATAGCTAGTCTTCAAATTAGAAGCTACTCATATCCTAAATGCGCTTCGAACCACACCTTTCCTTACTAAATCACTGCTATTTTATTCTATGTGTTTTTTCTTGCATTATTTCTTATATCATCAATAAATTTCATTTTCAACTCCACCCACTTTATATGCAACTCACTCCTTAGGTAATTTCTTATTATTCCAATAATCTTCCAATAAATAAGATATAAACATTTCCCTCGAGTGCAATCAATTTGCAATAAATATAAATCATATGTACCAATATACAAAGAAACTCACTCTTAAGCCAAGATTCTCACAGCATAAAGGGAACGAAAGAAAGAGTTGAGGAAGCTTAAAGAACTAACACTGAATAATATATCACATATCTCTGCTATGAAAAATCATGATTTGAGTTTTATTTATTTAAGGAATTTAATTTGTGATCTTCTTTGAGGACTAGTTAAAAGTTATTAGTATGTTCTGAGTGTGCACATGACAGAAAGTTTCTAAAACTATTGAGAACGACTAGCTACAAAATTGCACATTTCAATAAATTCTAGGGATGACCAGTTTGAAATTTTGCAGTCTTAAAATAAATTATGATCCCATGGATGATTAATGACTTCATCTTCAAATTACTTTCAACTATAAAGTCATATAAAATGCGCTTCAATAGTTCCAAACCTGAGACAAGCAACTTTATTCATTCCTTGATCCCAAACATTCATTTTAATATCACAAAGTACAATTTTTCATGCCAGAAACTCAAATAAATTTTTAAACATATGCACAACAGTCATAGATTTTCATAATTTCTGCAAGGAGACATCTCGTCAAAAATTCAAAACTTTTATTTTTTGCTTGTGCACTTTTCTGTGTGTGATACGTAAATCAGAATCAAGTAGATTTTATTCATGCAATGATGCTGGATGAAACAACTTTAGATTCATGAATTCTTCGTCATGTGAATAGTTGAAGGATTAGTGCTCTTATGATGTCAGCCATTAAGGAGGTACAGGGACAGACTTTCTCTGATTAAGAAATTCAGAGATTCTGAAATTTAGTTCTGTATGAAAATGAGTGAGGAGATGTCCAATAATTCATTTTTTGAAGTCGTCACTTATTAACGACCCCAAAGTGCATGAAGTCTTGATTGTTTGAAATGGACTTGTAGATTTGTAAGGCAAAGTAAATAGAAATCAATTTGATGTCATGTAAAGTAGAACTACTCAATATTAACATCCTTTCTATTATTTTTAACTTAAAAGTCATGTCTTATAAAGAATGGTGCATCCAAAAACCACATGTCACAGCCAAACCACATCTACGATTAAAACATCAATTATTCACACTTGATTCCGAGAATAAAGTTAGAATATTCATAATGTTATTATTTAATCTTATGTTGGTGATTAAATGTGATGCTATAACAAATTTATATTCCGACTATGCATATATTTTTGGGTTAAAAACTTTATTGCTGTGTACGGTTGAAAAATGAATGAAAAACAAGCATCATATTTGGCACTAACATAATCATGCTTGAATGCAACGATAAATATATTAAATTTTGCTGTGAAATTGAATGAAAATATTCTGCATTTTTTGGGTAGCGATGGAAACTTTGAGGTTAGATTAATAATTTCTAGGTTAGTTTAACAATTTCTAGGTTAGGTGAGAGATTTCTTTATAAAAATCTTGATAAATCGAGAGGAATTTTCCTTTGTGGATATTTCTAACAATGAAAATAAGGATTCCGTAAATTGAGTGCTCCAAGACAATCGACTTTTATGACTTCATATCCACATAGTCTCCAAAGTTCAATCTATATCTGGTTCAAATATTTAACTACCTTAATAACGTTTCTAGAATGAATCAATAAGCTATAAAAGGAAAACTTCATAGCTTTACACTCCCTGCACATCACGATTATAATATACATCCATTCGTATATATTCATATTATCAAAAATAAACAATTCTCATTCAAAATTCTCATGAATGCATGAACATTGAGGGAAAAAAATGCTCCCCATACATGTCACATATAAATAGAGATCGTACATCCACAGCAGCAGTAGCACTGAGAAGAGTAAGGAGAAAATTTTATGTCAACTCTCGAAACAGATTGTGGATTTATGGTGCTATTTAATCCGATATTTAGAATGAGATTGAGCTATTGTATAATGTACATACATTGTGCACTTTGGCATAACAACAACAAAAAAAATATCTTTTCAGACTGAATATTTCGGGTATGTGTGTATGTGGATGCATGTGTATGGCTGGGAACAATGATGAAAATTCATAATATTCAAATAACACGATTTTGATTGCTTTATTAATAATGAACAGAATGCACAACATGAAATTGAGGGTGATATTTTATTTTCCCTCACTCGATGAGACTACGTTATGCTTTATTATGTACTATGAATTATTTGAAAAATTCTTTTATTCCTCATTCCATTTTAGTTTTTATTTTTTGGAATGTCAGTGTGGTTTTCTCATGTCTGAATGTTTTTCATGCTCATACTCAGCTATTTTTATCAGATTTTAAAAACACATTACATTTCAATCTATTGAACATTCACTCGAACTTCCTCTTTAGTTTGAAAGTGTCATTCAATTATTATTTTTGCAATTTAAAAAGGGGAAACAGGGGGCATGCGTTTGGATGACTGAATGCTAAGAGCCGAATTACTAGACATGCCAAACCCACCCGAATAGCACAAGTCGGGTAATTGAAGAGAAATCCAGCACCAAGCAGGCATGATTCTGGCATCAATTTAAATCCAGCACCACGCTGATACTTACAAGTTGCTTTTGGTTCCATAAAAGTGGTTCCTGTTGATCAAAAATGCCCAATTATATCAAAATAAATCAATCAGCAACTTAAATTTACCAATTGTGATATGAAAATTTTAATATTTGGTTTGGTTACAGGAAATAGTGTTGGGTGTGGAGATGGGTGAACGAAACCAAATATTTTTTTTTTCAGAGTTAAAATCCCAAAAAACATTTCAAAGGAAAAAAATGATTGAAATTTTTTTTGCAAAAATGTATGAAAAAAAAGCATAAATATGCCCAAAAGTACTGTTTCTTGAATCACACCGGCTGATCGATTAACCGACTTGTTCCATTCGGGCCACTTTCATGTCTATTCTTTGATTTTTAAGGATTCACTTACATTTAACTTTTTAAACAGACTGTGTACTAGAGTTTCCACGTCACAAAACAAATGAACGATCCCCAACAAAAGAGAATAAAATTTTAGCATGTATATTTTATAAAATTATGAATGAACGCCGAAAGGGAGACAATTGAATGAACGAGAGCTCTTCCGCCACAGTGAAAATTTGTTTATTAGTAAAATAAGTTCTAATGATAGAAAATTTGCATTCAGCTAAGCAAAATAAAATCGTGCAGCCGTCTAAATTAGTTAATGAAGTGAAAATGATTTGGTTTTCTTTTTTTCTCACCAGTTCCCTAATTTGACCAATTTAGAAAACATTTTGCTTGCCAGCTTTTAAGAGATTTTCATTAATTTAGATTCTGGCAAAATTAGCTTTTGTGTGGCAAATTATTGAATTTTAATTTTTCAATCTCATTTCAAAATTTATCTACGAAAATCAGAATCATTAAGGAAGAAGAGCTTACCCTAATAAAACCATAGCAAAATGACTCCAGTTATAAATTTTAAAAATGTCAATTTATTCAACTTATAAAATAAAAGTCTATCACTAGAAGCAGCTTTTAAACGCACTATAAATAAATTGAAATTGACGAATAAAAGCTATTACGGTTTAGCTATTTCTAGGAATTTCTATTGTTCTTTTCTTG